AAATCTTTGATGTTTGGGGTATTGATTTCATGGGACCCTTTCCTCCCTCTTGTGGTTTTGCTTATATACTTTTGGCAGTCGATTATGTCTCAAAATGGGTGGAAGCAAAGGCCACCAGGACTGATGATTCTAAGTGTGTTGTAGGGTTTATCAAATCTAACATTTTCAGTAGGTTTGGCATTCCTTAAGCCATCATAAGTGATCAAGGGACCCACTTTTGCAATAGAGTCGTCGAAGTCTTGCTGAGGAAGTATGGGGTGCATCACCGAATCGCCACTACTTATCACCCCCAAACGAATGGACAAGCTGAAATTTCCAATAGAGAGGTAAAGTCCATTCTAGAGAAGACAGTGAATCCAGGAAGAAAGGATTGAAGCCTATGTCTAGATGACGCACTTTTGAAATTTCTGCTCCCTGGAAACTTATCCTTGAATGATTTCGACTTCTCAGGAATCATGTGCTTAGGCTGAATAGATAGGATAGGATGCAAGCATGACTAACTGAATTTTTTTTGGCTACATATGGTACCTCATTATTTTAATCGATCAATAGGCAAGATGCATATAAATTTTCCACATAAGGGCCTGATTGATTTTCACATAAATATCTGTCAAACATGGTTTGATTATTTTAGAACTTGCTGTGTTAGGCATGTTGAGACCACGATCGATGAGTTCATGGATCAGATGGTGATGCCTTGTGATTCATTCTTGTGCATATTCTAAAAAAAATAGAATAAAATTGTGACTAATGTGAGATGGAGCATAAAATGCACTCACATCTAGAAATGAAAGCAAGGGTGAGATGGAGCATAAAATGCACTCACCCTAGAACCCCAACCCCATTCTCACCTTCAGACCCTTGGAATTCATACTAAATGGTGGAGATGTGATACATAGCAAGCTTACGGTAATAACACACCTTGTTTTGACCTAAGAAACAAAGAAAGATAATTGAATCTGGCTGAATTGGTATGTTAAAGCAATGGGTACTTGTTGAGTCTAGGAAGGTTCAGCCGGTGGAAGGCTTGTTTCCTTGACTGTCGATTTAACTTGGGACAATGAGGAATGGTGATTTGTGATCACTCTTGGACGAGAAAAAGGGGAGAAAGAGATGGAAGGGGAAGGTTACCAAGTCTGGACTGAAGCATGCAATGGATTAGGCTTATTGTTGAGAAAAAGAGAGATCAAAAATCAGTAGGGAATTAAGTTTCTTTTGTTTTGCTTGAATTTTGCCTTGCCCGAGGACGGGCAAAGTTTAAGTGTGGGGAGATTTGATGAGACTAAAAAGTACCCTATTTTTATCCCCTAATATTCACTCTTTTACATTTATTTAGCACTTAAATGGACTCATTAC